AAAGATGTGGAGCAGTAGTATCCCAGGACGAGCGCCACAATGGAGAGGCCTGCCACTGGCGGCAGGATCTGCAGCACCTGAAGCTGAGAGGTGAGAGGCGGGCCATGAGCGCTGGGAGATCAAATGAACATTGGCACATGAAAGTCAGGGCGCAGCAAATAACTGGGTGCAATCAGACGCGACGAGAGACAGGAGGAGGGCGGAGAGGGAGGAGGGGGGAGAGGGATCTCTGAGCGGATCTGAAACATGATACGCGCGGGCCTTACAGCTTACCAGGCGCAGGCGGTAACTAGAGGAGTCAGACGCAATCAGGGCACAGAGGAGGAGCGGGAGAAGGGGAGTCTATACGTGAATAAGACGCAGGATACAGTCAGAAACATGACACGGGCGGGCGGTACAGCTTACCAGGCGCAGGCGGTAACTGGAGGAGTCAGACGCAAGGAGGGCAATGAGGAGCGCAGAGAGGGAGAATGACTGTATGAGGTGGGCGAGGAGGAAGAGAATGCGGTGGGGTGTGACTATAGGGAGCGCGTAGGCGGCCCAGAGGAGGGAGGAGAGGAGAGAGCAGGAGAAGGGGTAGGTGGAGATGGCGGTCCGGGAATACGGCGAGGACGCTTCTCGGAAGGCGTTCCTGGGAAGGTGCGAGGGAGCATGCAAGGCACCAGGATGTGAGGGGCTGATTGGCTGGCATGGGAGATGTGGACATGTCATGTTTGGGAGGTTTGTCATGTGAGAGGGGGTCTTTGTTGGGAGTGAAGTGTTGAACAGTATTAAACAAGGAAGTTTGTCATCTGCTGTTGACAAGGGAAAGTGTGCGCGTGCTAGGGAGAACACACATAACAGGGATGGGCTAAGCATGATGAGAAGTGCACTAAGTGGGCTGAGCATGATGAGAAGTGCGCTAAGTGGGGTGAAAAATGGATAGGAAATGCAGGATGAAGCAAGGACGAGGCATGGTGCGGACAGGAATAGGCATGGAAACGCAGGGGAATGGCATGGAGGAGGCATGGGGAAGGCATGGGGGAGGCACGGGGAAGGCATGGGGAAGGCATGGGGAGGCATGGGGAAGGCATGGGGGAGGCACGGGGAAGGCATGGGGAAGGCATGGGGAAGGCATGGGGGAGGCATGGGGAGGCATGGGAGAGGAATGGGGGAGGCATGGGGGAGGCATGGGGGAGGCATGGGGGAGGCAAGGCATGGGGAGGCATGGGGAGGCATGGGGAGGTATGGGGAAGTCATGGGGGAGGCATGGGTGAGGCATGGGGGAGGCATGGGGGAGGCATGGGGGAAGCATGGGGGAGGCATGGGGGAGGAATGGGGGAGGCGTGGGGGAGGCATGGGGGAGGCATGGGAAGGCATGGGGAAGGCACGGGGAAGGCATGGGGAAGGCATGGGGAGGCATGGGGGAGGCATGGGGAGGCATGGGGGAGGGTGGGGGAGGCATGGGGGAGGCATGGCGGAGGCATGGGGGAGGCATGGGGAGGCATGGGGAGGCATGGGGAAGGCATGGGGGAGGCATGGGGAGGCATGGGGAAGGCATGGGGGAGGCATGGGGAAGGCATGGGGAGAGGCAGGGGGAGGCATGGGGGAGGCATGGGGAGGCATGGGGAGGCATGGGGAGGCATGGGGAGGCATGGGGGAGGCATGGGGGAGGCATGGGGAAGGCATGGGGAAGGCATGGGGAGGCATGGGGGGGCATGGGGAACGCATGGGGAACGCATGGGGAAGGCATGGGGAAGCAAGGCAATGGAGTACCAGTAGGCTGCCTGAAGGAGGCATGTGGTGAGCAGACCTGCAAATGGAAAAAAGGATTTAATACACGAGACAAGAAAAATCTGCGTTAGCGAGCTACAAGAGCACTGGGAGTACAGGAGAAACGAGTGCCCGCACCGCACACGACTAGGCAACTATATGCGGAGATGAATGGCGCACTGGAAGTCGCACTGGTACAATTAGATCCGGCAAGTGTCGCTACTAGCGAGTACAAGCCACACAGGAAGTCGCACGGAGGCAGAGAAGGGGGAAATCCAGCAAAGGATATAGGATGTGCTTTTTGAGTCGACTCAAGAGTCACGGTGCGAGATTCAGATCGGGACAAGTGATACGGCGCCGGGACACCGCCTCTCATGCTAGGCGGTCACACACGCCAGGAAAGAAAGCGGGAGCTACGGGTACTAGGAGGCATATCAGTGGTGTGTTGGACTGACCGAGTGTTGCTAGAAACGACTCCATAACGACGGGTGTCTCGCCTGTCGTTAAATGAGGAGCTTTATAGCGAATCCAGACGAAGCTTCAACGAGGCTCGGGAGGAGTGACTGTTCACTGACGGAGGAAGAAAGCGGATACCACCGAGTAGCGATAATTCCCAAGTGGTGTTTGGAACGCTCGCTGGAATTCGCTCTAAGCGACGATGACTGGAATTCGCTCGCACGCGACAACGAATCAGTATGACGACGAGCCTACAGCCTGCAGCCTACCAACAGCCTACAGCCAGCCTACAGCCTCTCAGCGACGATGACTGGAATTCGCTCTACGGCGCGCACACACATTTGAGACCGGTTGGTTACCAACCAGTGACGATGAGAGGTAGTCGGCGAAAGACTGACGGACGGTGAGAATTTCAGCAACAACGAATCAGTACATTGGGGTGAGGAGGAGCTTTCAAGACGCGAATGAACTGCAATGTTTACGAGAGGTCGGATGGTGTAGGCAAGGGCGCCATGACGTGTGGTGGCGAGTCACAAGCTAAATGAAAAGGTAACTGTTATTGTAAGCACTGCAGTAGTGTTGACACAGTGTACCGACTCTGTTTCACCGCGTACGAATCTCCAAGCCCCCATCCATTCCCAAGGGTAGGGCTGAGGCGTATTTACACGCAGCTCCAAAATGTATATTCCAGTGGAGATCACTTCTGACACGAGGCGAAAGATGCTCGTCATTTCCAAGGGCTCAAAATGTTTGAATTGCCGTTTGTTGTAGGCTCAAAAGATGTTCATTTTGACATCCTAAATGGTACAACTTCGACACCATCCTGGCATGGATTCCCGCTAAAACACTCCTCTGATCAGATTCTTTTCAAGCTTACGCCCTTCCGCTGCGCCTATAGGTTGCTGTGGTGGAAACGGTGAAGGAATTTCAGTCAGAGTTGGCTAGTGACGGCCGTTCTTCAGTTCGATCAGTTGTTCCCTCACGAGAGTATACTTCACGCCCGGTTGTCGGGGTGCTTTCCATTCATCTCCGCACCCCGCCTCTCATACCTTTATCGCCGTCGATCTCTCTGGTCGCGTCGCGATGGATTCGCTGCAAGCGCGGCAGACATGGGAGCTGGAGAATCGAATCGAGCCGTTGCCGGCGAGCGACGTGGACGCGATCTACCGCTACGACGAGCGCATCCACGCCGACGTGCTGTCGCAGAAGCCGTGGACCAAGGACCCGCACTACTTCAAAAACGTCCGAATCTCCGCTCTAGCGCTTCTGAAGATGGTCGTGCACGCGCGATCAGGCGACACAATCGAGGTGCGCGTTGGTTATTTCGGCCCACCGTAGAGGCGAGAGAACACGCACCACTTTAGAAGCTGGGACCAAGGACCCGCTCTCCTTCAACAATGTCCGACTCTATTTTTGAGGCGCCTCAAAAATAGACTCCTCACCCAAGGACCCGCACTCCTTCAAGAACTTCCGACTCTCCGCGCTTGCCCTGCTGAAAATGGCGTGCGATCAGCGACACCATCGAGGTGCATGCAACACGGACAGCAAGTGAGAGAACTCATAGTCCTCCGCAGAATGTTTTTGAGAGTTGTCGAGAACAGGAGGAGAGAGAACACACAATCCTCCGCAGAAGCTGTGGACCAAGGGCCCGCACAATGTTAGAACGTCCAATTCTCCACACTTGCGCTGCCAAAGTCGTGCCATAATTTCCCCTAGTCTCTCCCAGGCAGGTGATGGTGATGGTGATGGTGATGGTGATGGTGATGGTGATGGCGATGGGCATCATGCCAGGCACGGTAGTAGGTGAGGCGCCTTAGAGATAGTAGACGCCACAGCTTAGTGTTATCTATTTTTGAGGCGCCTCAAAGGTAGTAGACGCCACAATCTTAGTGGTATCTAATTTTGAGGCGCCTCAAATGTAGTAGACGCTACAGTCTTAGTGGTATCTACTTTTGACGCGTTGAATTGACTGTCACACTCACCATGTCATGCTAGGCTCTGCTGTATGCACCTCCGTGCGATTTTACCGCAGGTGATGGGCATCGTGCTGGCTGGGCAAGGTGGTGGTCTCCACAATCGTCTCGCACTGAACTCTCTAATCATTCTCATCATGCCATGCATGATGTCAGAGGGGGGCAGACGACTCATTCCCATCGTGCCATGCCATGCAAGACTCCTCTGTCTGCCCCCCCGTGCATTTCCATCTCAGGCGATGGGCCTCATCCAAGGGAATGTCGTTGATGGCACCGTCATTGTCACGGACGCGTTGACCCTGTTATTAGCAGACCCGTTTTGAGCAACTCCAATGAACCAAACCCCTCCTACTGCAGGTGATGGGCATCATGCAAGGGAAGGTGGTCAATGGCACCGTCATAGTCATGGACACATTGAATTCGTTATAAGCAGACCCAGTAGACCCCCTCGTACTGCAGGTGATGGGCATCATGCAGGGCAAGGTGGTGGACGGCACCATCATCGTCATGGACGCCTTCGCGCTGCCTGTGGAGGGCACTGAGACCCGGGTCAACGCTCAGGCGGAGGCGTACGAGTACATGGTGGAGTTCACCCAGACCAATAAGAGGGTAAGTTGCAGGTTACCCCTCATTAATCAGTACGAAGGAATTTTCAAGCCAATGGTTCGGTACTTTCCATACTACAGAGGCTGCGAGTTGCTTGGTAGTAGAAACTAGAGCATTCAAGCAGCAGGAGAAGGCATATTGAGAGCAGTAGGATAAGCAGCTTCAGGCTCTCGAATGGCTTCGGGTCCACCCTTCCCTCCCACCGCTCTGGCCTCCTCTCTGACCCTCCCACCGCTCTGGCCTCCTCTCTGACCCTCCCACCGCTCTGGCCTCCTCTCTGACCCTGCAGGCGGGGTGGCTGGAGCCTGGAATAGTGGTAGGGTGGTACCACTCGCACCCGGGATACGGCTGCTGGCTGTCAGGCATCGATGTCTCGAGTCTTGACTCACGCGCTCAACCAGGAGTTCCAGGAGCCGTTTCTGCCGCCTTTTGGGCAATGGGCACCCCATCCCTCCCAATGCCGGCACTCCTTCCCCCCCCTTCCACAACAGGCGGGGCGGCTAGAGAACGTGGCTGGGTGGTACCACTCGCACCCGGGGTATGGATGCTGGCTGTCGGGCATCGACATGTCGACCCAGATGCTCGACCAGGAGTTCCAAGAGCCTTTCCTCGCCCCGTTGCCCACCCCTTCCCGTTGCCCGCCCCTTCCCGTTGCCCACGCCCCATGTGCTCCTCCCACTGCAGGCGGGGCGACTTGAAAACGTGGTGGGGTGGTACCATTCGCACCCGGGGTACGGGTGCTGGCTGTCGGGCATTGACGTGTCGACTCAGATGCTCAACCAGGAGTTCCAAGAGCCCTTCCTCGCGGTTGTCATAGACCCCACTCGCACCGTGTCCGCGGGCAAGGTAGGGTTAGAGGGGAGAGCAGAGGAGAGGGGAGAGCAGAGGAGAGGGGAGAGCAGGGAGAGGGGAGAGCAGAGGGGAGGGGAGAGCAGACTCTAATCACCACCCAGATGCTCAACCAGGAGTTCCAAGAGCCCTTCCTTGCTGTCGTGATTGATCCTACTCGCACCGTGTCCACCGGCAAGGTTGGGTTGGCTTTTCTAGGGGCCGCCGGTTAAGAAGTTGTCTGCTGGCAACGTAGGGTCAATGGGAATAGATTGGAACAGAGGGCGCATGGGAGAGTAGTAGGAGTTGGGAGTCGGGGAAGCTCAGCTGTGTGAGAACGAACTCACCAGGTGTCAAGGGCTAGTCTCTTTTCGACACGTCTCGAAACGAAATTACCAACGCACATGTGTGAGAACGAGCTCTTTGTGTGTCTCACACAGCTCTGTGGGGGCTAGTATCTTCTCTGGCGCTATCATCTACCCGCTCGCACCGTGTCCACTCCCTCGTCTCCCCTTGTCTCCCCGTATCTGTGCCTCCTTCCCAATTTCAAGGTTGAGATCGGCGCCTCCTGCACATACCCCAAGGGCTACAAGCCTCCTTTGTTGAGCTCTATGCTGCACCTTTTACCAGCACCGTCCCGTCCCGTCCCTTCCCTTCCCTTCCCTTCCCTTCCCTTCCCTTCCCTTCCCTTCCCTTCCCTTCCCTTCCCTTCCCTTCCCTTCCCTTCCCTTCCCTTCCCTCCCCTCTTTTCTCCGCCCCTCTAAAGGTTGAGATCGGCGCCTTCCGCACATACCCCAAGGGGTACAAGCCGCCAGACGAGCCGGCTTCGGAGTACCAGACCATTCCTCTGAACAAGATCGAGGACTTCGGCGTGCACTGCAAGCAGGCAAGCAGGAGGTCAGGGTGGTGTTGCTGGTGAGCGCACTGCAAGCAGGCAAGCAGGGGGTCAGGGTGGTGTTGCTGGTGAGCGCACTGCAAGCAGGCAAGCAGGGGGTCAGGGTGGTGTTGCTGGTGAGCGCACTGCAAGCAGGTGGGCCAACTGCAAGCAAGCAAGCTGACGATGTTAGGGCCTCTGACTGTGAAGCGCATGCATGCAGGTGTGTGAGGGGATAGCGATAGGAGTATCTCCTCCCTATCTTCTCCTTCAAAGCCTGTGACCTGCCTAAACCTTCCCGTTCCGCAATGCAATTTTCCACCTCTTATCCCCCATCCCCATTACAGTACTACTCGCTAGACATCACGTACTTCAAGTCGTCGCTGGACTCGCACCTGCTGGACCTGCTGTGGAACAAGTACTGGGTCAACACTCTCTCCTCCTCGAAAGCCCCTCAACGCATCTTTCCACCTTTCACTCCTTCAGCCTCCCACCTGCCCTCCCCCATCCCCCATCCTCCATCCCCCATCCCCCATCCCCCATCCTCCATCCCCCTTACAGTACTACTCACTAGACATCACGTACTTCAAATCATCCCTGGACTCGCACCTGCTGGACCTGCTGTGGAACAAGTACTGGGTCAACACTCTCTCCTCCTCGCAGCTCCTCGCCAACCGGGACTATGTTGCGGGGCAGATCTCCGACCTGGGTATGCTGCCGATGTTTGTGTGTATAGCACTATGGGGCTGACTCACTTGGTCAACGCGCTCTCCTACTGGCAACTCCTCGCCAACAGGGGCAATGTGGCTGGCTAAATCTCGGACCTGGGTAAGCAGGGATGGGTTGAGTTCAGGGTATGTTGTTCAGATTGGTATGTTGCAGGGCATACATCCGTTGGAGGTGACCAACCAAACTACATTGCGAGCCTACATTTGGCCTGAGATCTGCCTGAAGTGCATGTAAAACAACTCCTCACCCACGCCTGCTGTCAAGCTGGAGAAGCATAAGCAGGCAGAGGAGCAGCTGACTCGTTCAGGGCGCACTGGGGCTACTTACGCCTCCATGTCTGCTCCCTTCGCCAGCTGTTGACTGTCTCCCCTCTTCCCCCTCTCTCACTCCCCCCTCCCCCCCCCCAACCCTCCCCCAACCCTCCCCCCCCCCAGCGGAGAAGCGGGAGCAGGCAGAGGGGCAGCTGGCACTTTCAGGGCGCATAGGGGGGCTGTTTACGCCTCAATGCCCTCCTTTCAGCTTGCTGCTGAATGCCGCATTTGCCCTCTCCCCCCAACCCGTCTCTCACATTGCCCCCCCCCCCCCTACTCCCCCCCACACACACCAGCGGAGAAGCTGGAGCAGGCAGAGGGGCAGCTGGCGCACTCAGGGCGCATAGGGGGGTTCCTGATGCCCCCGCAGAGGCGCAAGGAGGTGAGTGGGAAGGGGGAGGGAGGATGGGATGTCGGCTCTAGGGGTGCGTTGGAGGGTTCCTGATACCCTCGCAAAGGCGCAAGGAGGTGAGCGAGAGGGGTGGAGAACAGTGGGCCACGGGCGATTCTCTGAAGTACGTGTTTATGTGGCTTGTCGTGTTTTATGCAGCTTGTCGGCAGTTATTTCGGGTATGGATTGATTCTGCTTCACCCTGCACCTTTAGCTGATTTCTTTTCTAAAAACCAGCATACCAAATCTCACAAATTTGCCTCATCCTTATTACCCTTGGTTGGGATCGGCTGTGGGTGGGGGAGTACTCTTGCTACCGTTGAGCAATTAAGAGCATGTTCCTGCGGCCTCTTCCCAGCCAACCTCTTCCCAGACTCGCGCGCTACAGTGTCGTGTAATTTTGACGCGAAACAGTTTAGTGCGGTGCCGCATGGTGTGACGCAAGGTTGGGATTGTCGCGATTCAAGGCGTTTTTTCAAATTTCGTTTCAGGCGCGAAGATTTCCGACTTGCGCGAATCTGTACAGTGCGATTTTGACGCAAGCTGATTCATTATGTTGAAGAACGCGATTCTAAAACAGATTAGCAGGAAAAATGGTTCTTCAAACATGCTATCAGTCGAGGGTCGATTGTGGAAAGAGGATTGCCTGGTAAGAGGTTGGTAGGAACTCGCTCTAATACCGTATGCTGGTTTTGACCTGGTGGTGCCACTGCCTTGCCTTGTGCTGCCGCGGATGGCACTGTGTGAACGTGTGTGTGGATCTTGCTTGTCCTGCCACGCCTTGTCACACCTCCAGGAGGACTCACCTCTGAGCCGGTCAACGAGGGACAGCACTCGCATCACAGTGGAGCAGCTGCACGGACTCATGTCACAGGTGAGGGCTGCTGACGTCATGCTGGTGTCATGCTGACGCACCCACAAGGCCACACTGTTCGAGCCGAGCCCTGCCTCCTCTTGTTTCCTCACCCTATGCCTCCCCCCCTGTGGTCGCCAGGTGATGAAGGACCTACTTTTCAACTCCGTTGCACCCTCAGGCAAGCCAGGCAAGAGCCAATTAGAAGCTGCCAGCTCACCAGGAGGAGAGCCCATGGTTGAAGCCTAAGCCATCAGGGAACAGCGTGGCATTGCATGGGAATTGTCTAGATAGTTGGTGATCTCTCCATCACCTAGATGCAGTGAACTGCATTATGTTGATAGGGGATACAGTGTAGTTATGGCTTTTTGTTCAACATCATGGCACACATATAGGTAGTTTACTGTAGCTGTTCAAATAAAGGGGGGGGGGGGGGGGGGGGAGGAGGGAGCATGGGGAAAACTTGTGCGTGCTGCAGTTCTAGATTAGCCCACCACAGATGTTTCTCCTGAGTCCTGACCATATCAACCCATCATGACCAACAAATCATTGTCAAAATCATGTGCCTGCATCAATGCATGTCAGCAGCAGCATCCCTGTCTGTCACTCGAGATTCTTTCTGTCTGCCACATCTCTAACCTCCCATCGCCTTATCCTTGCCTATCCCCCTCCAATCCCCCATCCACACTATGTTCTGAACAGTCCATAGCTGCACCGCATCCAGCATCGCCAGTCTTATCCACTTTCACCACCGGCGTCCGTGTTTCTAGGAATCCTACTCCCATCAACAGCCCCATGGCCCGCCTCTTGCCCTTCCCGGACCGCTCAGACTATCAGCTTTTATTTCTCATCCAGCTAACGCACCGTCACCAGCCTTTGAGGCGCCTTACAAGTCTGGTCCTCCCCCCTGCGCAGCTTCTATTTCTCATCCGGCTTGAGCACCTTCACCAGTTCCCACCCGTCGCCGAACGCCGTCCCCCAATCCGCGTGCGGCCGCTTCGACTCCAGCAGCGCCGCGTTGGCCGTCTTTAACTCCACCCACTCGCCGGCAAACTCGCTAGCTGCCTCCTCCCACCCGCGGTTGTGCCCCATGCACATCACCGTGTCCGCGAATTCCGGAGCCAATCGCACGACTGTTTCGTGCAGATGCCGCGCCGTCTGGCCGTCCATGGCTGCCACGGAGTAGAAGCTTCCGAGAAACCTCGCCTCTGCTTCCGCGAAGCCGTCCTCTGCTTCCCGCATGATGTCGAGCGTCTCGCGGGTCCGCGTGGCGTCGCTGCAGAGGATTAAGGACGGCGTCCAGCCGAGCCGCGCGAGCTTCTTAGCAATGCTCTTAGCGCCGTGCTTCCCGCGGCTGCTGAGAGGACGATCGTGGTCGATTAAGGACGGGTCGTCCCAGGAGCTCTTGGCGTGGCGAAGCAATATAAGGCGACGAGTCTTAGCGGAAGGAGTTTTGCGGGAGGAGGAGGAGGTAGAAGAGGAAGGCGAAGAGGCGGAGCAGGTTACACTGGAGTGAGTGGATTTTATGCTGCTTGGTTCGAAGTGCGAGGAGGCTAGAAGAGTGGATTGGGCGAATGGGATTCGTTGCAAGGCGAAAAAGGACGAGCCGTGAAGGGAGCTGGAGTGCGAAATCGACAACTTTGATTGCGGAAGCTTGGCGGATGCTTGAGCAGAAGTTGAGATGATGACTGAGATGTGCTGTGACACCGCATTTCCTCTCAAAACATCCATTTCGGAATACGGTGTAAGAAATTACTTGCTGAATCAAGCTAGCAACCAGAGGTCGAAATCGACCGTGGCGATCGAGAGCCAGTCTAGAAACACCAGCCTTCCCTATCGTTTTTCTGAGCTAGTTTCGTTATCTCTCTCACCTGGAAGGACGCCCAGATCCTGGAAGCAGGAGCTGATGTGGAAGTGAATGAATTTGGAGAGACTCCAGGTTGGCTGCTGACAATCCATCCATGGCGGCTGGTTCGCGAAAAAGGTTTGGCGACATTCACGACGTTACGAGAAGGTTACGGCACACGAGAAGGAGAAGGCGACTGACAGAGAAGGTTGCAAGCACTTTTCGCGACAAGGTCTTGTGAAGGTGGAGCCCACTGACAGAAAAGGTGGAGCAATCCTTGTGAATGCCATCCTGATTGGTCCAGAAGATTTTCTACGTCTCTGGAATTTGTCTTCGATAGATGCACTTGTCGATTATTTTAGAGCACTCTTAAATTTTTACTACGACCTTACGTTCTCGGGAGTACTGTCGGTGAAGTTTGAATACTGTGCACGTCTACACTAGTAGATTTTGATTACTCTAGGTTCCTCGAAGCACTCCATAGAGGAAATAAGGGCCTACTCAAATCGGATGCACACTCCAGGAAAATATGAAAGTGTGCCTTCTCCGACCCCCGGTAAGAGGAAACATCGTGTCAGTGCACATCAAACAGTTACCTAGGCAGCCTCAACTTGACACGATACAGAAACCAAGAAGAAACCTGATCCGCATTACTCATCTGAACCCGGACGAGGACTGCCATTTTGTCATCCACCGCCACTTCCCCCAGCTCCATCACCAGCATCAGCGTGACCTTCACAAATCACGAGTCACGAGCCACTCGTTCACCTACCGAACATTTAGGAGGCTGCCTTACCTCTCCACTAAACATCACATATTGAAGCAGTATTTACAGCATCAAGAACCATGCTACCCTACGAGGCGGGACCATTTCTCGCCTTCTGCTGCTCCACTGTGTCGCCAGAGCCATAATCAATGAGTTATTATCTCTCAGTTCACAACTTTTCCGCCGAGTCTCAGGCGCGCTTCTGCGTTCACCGTTTATTGAAGTCTTGGCTTTCCATAGAGGATCCCAGTCTTCGCAAGCTGCACACCGCCATAGCGATCCCCGTCTTTGCCTAAGCTGCAAACCGCAACTCCACCCAATTTCAATTGATCCGCCATTAGAATGATCAGTCGATCGTCATCGGCGGGATCCTTCACTCTCGATACGCGTTATGGCAAGTCGAAGCGCTTCGCAGACCTTAAGCTCTCCACGTGCGCGGTTTGGTCCATCACCGGCCTCTGCGGCTTTCTCCTCATCTGGCGCCTCGTTTCTCCCCACTGCAACTGCCCGAAAAACATTCCCGTACCCGCTCCAGCCGCCCCGTTACCCGGTACAATAACCGGCGGTTTCCGGATCTTAGATCCCGGCGAGCCCGTGGACCCGCACGTAGTTAAGAAATTCGGGCCGGAGATTTGCAACAGGAAACGGTACCCGCCGACACAGGCGTTACAAGCCGACTCGGTTACCATCTTAATTAACGGCTACGCCGAAGCGCGGATACCGCTGCTACAGGAGACGCTGCAGATATACGCGGAGAGCCCGTTAGTGGACGCGATTTATGTGCTATGGGGAAACGTCTCGTCGCCGTTCTCGGTGGTCGAGGGCGACTTGGGATGGTGGGACGACGGGTCGAGCGGGGAAGGAGCGGCAGCGGCGGCGGCGGGGGCGATTGCACAAGCAGAAGAGATCGCGACGCGGGAAAAAGCGGACGGGATTCCCGGCGGGAATCGCGGATTGGGTGGGGGGATCCGCGTGGGCGGCCCGGAGTCTAAGATCCACATAGTCAGGCAGCTTTCTGACAGCCTGAACGACCGGTTCCTTCCGCGAAAGTTCATCCGCACGCGAGCCGTGATTATATGCGACGACGATATCACGATAGACGATAAGACGTTAGAGTTCGCGCTCCGGGTTTGGGGGGAAAACGAGCAGCGGCTCGTCGGATTCTTCCCGCGCGCGCACGTGTATAGCTTAGAGGAAAAGGGCTGGGTGTATACTAAGCGCGAAGACCGGTACTCCATAGTTTTAACGAAGCTTTTTATCCTGCATGCGGATTACCTGTTTCGGTACACGTGTCACACGCCGGAGGGGGTCAAGGAGTACGTGGATTCGGGGAAGAACTGCGAAGACATCGCGATGAACTTCGTCGTTTCGCAAAGGGCGAAAGTCGGGCCGCTATTGGTGGACGGCAAGCCGCGCGATTGGGGCGACACGCGGAACTCGGAGAAGGAGTTGAGCGACGTGGGGCTGAGCGCGCGCGCCGGGCATAAGAAGGACAGAGGAGGGTGCATCGGCGCGTTTCAGCGGCTGTGGGGCGCCATGGAGCTACGATACAGCTACTCGAAGGCCACGCCCGATGTGAAGGAGATGGTGAGAGGATGACTGAGGGGGCGCGTGTATGGTGTCTCGTTCCAATGTGCCGTACACCGGGATTCGTGGAGTTGAGATACAGGTACTTGAAAGCCACACCTGATGTGAAGGAGATGGCGAGAGGATGAGTTACGCTGAAATATCCCATTTTGAGGCGGTCTTAAAAAGGAACCTTTGGAGTTGGGATACAGCCAGGTAGCTTGCAGGTGTGTGCGTGATGGACCATGTTCAATGAGTCTATTTTTGAGTCGACTCGAAAACGTGTACATGATGGACCGTGTTCCTCACGCGCATGCAGGAGAAGTATATTTTTGAGGCGCCTCAAAATTAGACTCCTCACGCTTTTGAGGCGCCTCAAAAATTGACGATTCACGCTTTTGAGGCGACTAAAAAATGGACTGTGTTCCTCACGCGTATGCAGGCAGCTTGAGTGTTGAAGCAACTCCTCTCCCCCGCTTGCGCCACCCATGGTCCCCCCTGCGCCACCCCGCTCAGGTGTTCTGCGACAAGTTCGGGTACATGATTCACTGCGACGACCGCGCTCGCACACGCATGCAGGCAGCGAGGGCAGCCGGGCTGCACCGCGTGGTGGTGGAGCAGCGCTACGCCTACGCCACTCTTGTCGCCTCGGCTGACCTGTTACCGGCCGCGCTGGCGCACGCACAGTCGTTGCGGCTGACGGGCACGGCGCACGACCTGGTGCTCATGGTGGACGAGAACGCCCATGATGTGAATCTGAAAGACCGTCTCTTGCTGCTGCATTTCGACCACGTGCGGCGCGTGCCCACTGTTACCAACCCGTGAGTACTTGGTTGGGAGGTTAGGGTTGACTGGCTGGGTCTGGTAGGCGGGCGGGTCCAGGACAATGCACGCGCAGTCGCTGCGGCTGACGGGCATGGCGCATGACGTGGTGCTCATGGTGGACGAGAACGCCCATGATTCACAGCATGCGGCATGATGTGAATCTCAGGGATAGGCTGCTCCTTGTTCACTTTGACCATGCTCCGCGCGTGACTTTTGAGTCGACTCAAAAGTCATCTTCACTTTGACCATGTTCCGCGTGTGCCGACGGTTGCCCATCCGTGAGTACTGAAGTGTGTGGGATTGACTGTTTCTTTCCTTGGGCAACCGAGGTAGGCGCATGGCTTGGTGTGTTGAGTACCTGTGCGTGTTGGTGGCTATTTTCTTGGGCGAGTAAAGGGTGCTGCTGGTGCTGCTGGTGCTGCTGGTGCTGCTGGTGGATGAGGATGCACGAAATGCACAAGATGCACAGTGGACAAAGTGCACCTCATGTTCTTCCTTACTTGCCCATCAGATATGCATGGTTGCCCTAG